GCCATAAACCATTGTCACGACAAAGTACAGAAGAACCCAGCATTCAAGGCGAGACAGACGGTGGGATAATTCAAAGTGATTATTTAAAAACGAGCGGGCTGTGGATCCACAGTTAATTGCTCATTTAAATTCTGCCAAAGGCATTCATGATATGTGTGTGCTACCTCCAGAATTTAAAAGAAAATATTATCTTTTTCTGTTTGCAAAATCAAACTTAATTTCATATTTTTACTTAAGATCAGTAAGTTATCAATGCATTTTTGCCCATTTTTTACTGTTTTTCCTCTGCAAAAAATAGACTTTCCCACTTCCAATTATAGATATCCAGAAATCCAACACACACGTCACCTCGATCAGATTCTCATCTTTTCCAGCTTTCTCCGCAGCGTGCTGGTCATATATTCTCATTATAGTTTGCTTTGCAGGTATTTTGTAAGATGGGTCACACTCGGAGGCCTGGAGAAAGAGCTTGAGCCTATCAGCCATGCTGATGAGCTGTCAACTTATTGCTATCCACTGAGCGAGAAGATTGTTTAGCTTGGCTAATAGCGCTGTGCTTTTAGCTTCACCCAAGTGAGCACTTCATGTTCAATGTGGTAATTTTAGTGTACACCAACACAGGTTGGAAGACTGATTCATTCTTGTCCTCAGACATACATCCGTTTCCAATATACATCTGCACTAAAATATCAGAGTGAAAGTAATCATTAGTGAGACTCTGGTCCAAATACTATCATTTCTGTTTTGTCTGGTTTCAGGAGCAGAAAGTTAAAAGTCATCCAGGTTTTTATGTATTCAAGACATGCCTGTAATTTATGTAATGGGTAAGCTTAATCTGGATTTATAGACAGATATAGCTGGGTATCATCAGCATAACAGTGGAAATTAATCACATGCTGTCTAATAATTCTATCGATTGGTAGCATATATATTTATATGAGCATAAGGAAGATTCGTCATTAATGTGAACAAACTGAAATCGATCAGATAGATAAGATTTAAACCAGTCTAGTGCTGTTCTTTTAATTCCTACAAAATATTCAAGTCTTTATAAAAGAATATTATGATCATCTGTATCAAATTAGTCAGTCACATCATTTGGATGAGATTAAACTGATTTCAGATAATAAAGTAAAAAATCTTGGTGTTAGTTTTGATTAGGACCTGTCATTTAAATCCCATATGAAAGAGGTCTCTAAAATTTCCTTCTTTCATCTACAGAATATTGCAAAAAAATTGAAATATCCTGACATGGGGTGATGCTGAGAAACTAGTCCATGCATTTCTTACTTCAAGTCCACAAACTATAGTTAAAAGTTTTCAGCTGATCCAAAATGCTGCAGCTACAGTTCTGATTAAAATAAAAAAGAGAGATCATATCTATCCTATTCGGGCTTCTCTTCATCGGCTTGATGTCAAATCCAGAATAGAATTTAAAATCCTCCTTCTCAAATATAAAGTCTTAAATGGCCAAGCTCCATCTGATATCAGAGATATGTTTGTTCCTTATGTTCCTAACAGAGCAGTTCACTCTAGATCTGCAGGTCTACTTGTAGTCCCTAGACTTTCTAAAAGTAGAATGGGAGGCAGATCTTTTAGTTATCCGGCTCCTGTCCTGTGGAACCAACTACCAGTTTTAGTCTGTGAGGCAGACACCCTGTCTACTTTTAAGGCTAGGCTTAAAACTTTCCTTTTTGATAAAGCTTCTAGTTAGAGTGGCTCAGGTTATCCTGAGCTTTTTAGCGCACGTGTAACATTTAATTATAAAAAAAAATAAACGCATGTTGAATTAAATTTGACTTTTATTTGTAACATTCTCTAAACGTGAGTTTTCAATGGAAAAAAGTCACATCACCAACAGAACAGACTAAAGCATACTTCTTTCATCTGGCTCATCTCCCTGTTTTCCCTCACCCATCTGTTCTCCCTCATCCTGGTCTTTTTCTGTCTCTGTGTCTTCCCTGAACTCTTCCTCATCTCCTGTCCTGTTATATGTTGATGGTATAGAGCTTCCCTGCTGTGACTGGCTACAATATATTAATAATAACCATCATGACAATAATAATGATAATAATAATAATAATAATAATAATAATAATAATAATAATAATAATAATAATAATAATAATAATAATAATAATAATAGCTTTAACAAATATGCCACATTAGTTTAAATAATGGGCTATTAGGGCAACATGACTGGAAGTCTTGTCACGTGGATATGACTTATGGTAGCCTACAAAATAATAGCTATTTTAATACTTGCTGCAAAAACCACTTAAAAATAAAATGTGAACAGCTTTTAAGATTTTTCAATATGATTAACCCTCCTTTCTTGGCATTGTGCTGCAATTACTAAATCAATATACAATTAAGACAATAAAGAGACCAAAGTGTGTTAATTTATGTTGCCTAACAAAACCTATACAACAGAAAACGTTTGTCTTAACACATAGATTTGTACAGAAGAGGATTAGGGCCACTGAAAAAAAAAAAGTTAACTGATTTTTAAATTTTATTTCAGTTTAACATGGGAAAAAAGTCAGAATTCTGACTTTTTTATTGTCAGAATTTTGAGATTAAAGTCAGAATACTGAGCAAAAAGTCAGAATTCTCAGCAAAAAGTCAGAATTATGAGAAAAAAGTTAGAATTATGAGATTAAAGTCAGCATTCTGACTTTTTTCCCATACTAAACTGAAATAAAATTTAAAAATCATTTAACTTATTTTTTTTTTTCAGTGGCCCTAATCCTCTTCCGTATTTGCAATTGCAAACTCTACCAAAATTATTTGTAGCCTATGTGGTCGTCCTCACGTTATCTGTCATTGACTTGGGCTACAGTGTAAAACTTTCAGAATCACAATCAGGTTTATTGCCATTGTTAGTGAAGGAGTTCACAAACTAGGAATTTTTTATGGTACAATCGTGCAACATGAAACATATAATATGGAATAGGTAAATAAAATTATAAAAATATCTAAAAACTGTGGGTATACGTCATGCAATAAAATAGACTAATGTATACGCTTAAGATAAAAAAATATGGATACAAAATATAAAAAGTAAAATAGCATCTTACAAGGAGACAACTAGTTTATCTGGTGACCAGTCGGCAAAATGCGTGTTTGGTGCTGCTGAATGAGACATTTTAATGCACAACAAAATCATTCTGCTTGATCTGTATATTACCTGGCTAATGGGGCACGGGAGAAGCAGCCTGTCAGCGACCGTTCCTGCTATCTGAAGACGCTATGATGCTGCATCTGGCTGCCCTGCGGGTGACCGAGCGAGTTCACGTGACAAAGGAAGAGAGAGAGGCTGGTCGTTTGTGCGCAAATAGGTCGGTCATTTCGGGGCATTGTTTCAGTCGTTTTTAATGGCTCAGGTTTTCAAAAGATCATTTCAAAACCGACCTCAGTAAAATCTTAATAATATTAATAATAATAAAAAAAAAAAACGAGTTTCAAAAGGGCATTTTCTTTGATAGAGGGCAAACTTCCTAGTGCTTTAGCACCACCTAGTGTCTATGTGTGCACGCCCCTGATTCTGCTTCATTCTAGCTCTACTGTCCCACTCTGCAGAATCTGTTAGTTCAATCTCTAACGTTATGCACTCCCTGCTTTTTCTCATAGTGTGTTCCTGTTTGACTGGAGAGAAATATCAGCTATGCTGCTGGCATCAACACCTTTGTTTATAGATATGCGTGGGAGTTGGCTCGGAGCTTGTCTGCCCGCCTGTGTGATTCCTGGCCAGCGCCACCTTTTACAGTTGCCGTTTGTATCTCTGCATCTGTCTTCTTGAACCCCAGCCGTCCTTAGCAGATGGCCGCTGATATACTATATATATATATATATATATATATATATATATATATGTATATGTCATTTCAGATATTTATATATAGAAATTTATTTATAGATTTTATGATTTATTTCCTCTTTATTTTCAACAGTGTCCTGTCTGGCAATGTGGCAATAAGAATAATTGTCCAGATGCCGAAAAGAGCATTTTACTTTCACAAGTGGAGCGGTATTGCTGTCGCCATAGTGTTCCGCTTGTTTTATGCATATAAATAGCTATTATAATTCTGTAAAGGGAGTATTGCAGATTATATGGACTTCTGCAATGTAAGTAGAACTCGAAAGAAAAAAAAGGAGAAAAGATGAAAAAAAGAGAAGATAAAGGGGAGATAATGATAAAACATTTTCAGTCTGCTTCATCACCTGCAAATAGATGTAAATAGAACAGCACAACCAACAGAATTGGTACGAGACATACAATAAAGTAACACCTAGATACTATCGCTAAAGTATAATCAGCATTATTTAATCTGACATGTATACTGTGGTAGCTGAAGATAAGAATTTGGGCTTTCTATATGGAAGTGAACTGAAGGAAAAATGCTCAATTGTGAAGAGCCGAAGACGGGCCCCTCCAGAGAACTGAGGCAAGCGCCAGCGGACCCAGGCGACAGCCAACAAAGGGAGGGCAGGACGGAGGGAATGGGCTTCGCACGTAGCAGAGACTTGAGATATTGTTTATGATTTATTTTAAACAATAAGGTAAACCCTGGTCAACCAACTTTAAATCCACTTTCTCTAAAGCAACAACTGTTTTAGTGTTCTTACCTCTTGGCACTACTGCAAATGGGAGGTGCCAGGGTGAAAAAAAAATTTATTTTCCAGGAAAAATAATACTACCAATGCAATTGAAGAAAAAGAAAGCAAAAGGTTAAGTAGTGCAACAAAAATCTGAAATAAAGGAACTATTAAGGGGAAGGGCCAAGTTGATAACAAGGCTACTCATCAGAGCTTGGAGAAATTCACATTGCATGTATGGGGTCCCTGGAAAGAAGGACAACAGAGATTAACCAATCCTAATGAGTAAATATTTTTTTCACTGGAGTCACTGGAGGAAAGGGAAAAACATCCATACAAGTGTTCCATTCTAGATCCCCCAATAAAGCTTTCAACAACCCAGCTACAAGCCCATTGCTATGATGTCTGATAATGATGAGCTCTGTTTTCCTCAACAATTTAACATATCTTGCAAGAAGCCAAGAGTTTCATGGGTTTCAGTTCTATTTCTCCAGTTTCTACTGCCCATAATTTCTGTGCTCACTGTAGTTCTAAATCTGCTGGTCATCATCTCCATCTCTCATTTCAGGTAAAGAAAAAAAAAAAATCAGTTTCTTTTGAATATTCGATCCATATAGAAAAATGGGTACTCTCTATGTAAACAATATCTTTGGTGCTCGAACTAAATATGATGCCTAAAATTTTAACTGTGCTAATTTCTCTGCAGGCAGCTTCACAGAGCAAACAACTTCCTGCTTCTGTCTCTCGCAGTTGCGGACTTCTTGATAGGTCTTGTTTTTATTCCAGGTGAAATGCTTAAACTAACAACTTGTTGGTTTTTTGGTGATCACATGTGCTTATTGTATTCATACATCCTTGTTGTTATTATCTGTTCTTCAGTCGGAAATATTGTGCTGATATCTGTAGACCGTTATGTGGCTATTTGTTACCCACTGCAGTACCACAGGAGAATTACTATCACAAAAATACGAATATGTATTAGTCTTTGTTGGCTTTATTCAGCTTTTTACAGTATAACTTTTGTGAAGGATGGTTTAAGTCTATTTGCTACTTCTTGTCAGGGAGAATGTGTGTTTTTCATAACGTATTCTGCCATAGTAATTGACCTTTTTATAACTTTTTTTGCTCCAATTTCTATAATCATATTTCTGTACATTAGAGTATTTCTGGTGGTTGTTTTTCAGGCTCGAGCTATCCGCTCTCATTCCACAGCACCACAACAAGGTCCAGTGACAGCAAGGAAGTCTGAATTGAAAGCTGCCAGGACCATTGGTTTTATAGTCCTTGTGTTTGTGATATGTTTCTGTCCTTACTACGGTATTTCTCTTGCAGGTTACGTTTCACAAAATGTGTCTATAACTGTTCTGTGTATTTTCTGCATTAACTCATGCCTGAACCCTATTATCTATGCCATGTTCTATCCCTGGTTTAGAAAAGCAATTAAACACATTGTGACCTTTAACATACTACAGCCTGGGTCCAGCAAAGCAAATATATTATAGGAAAAAAAAGGAAACTCAAGACAAACAGATTTGCATAGAGTGGTTAAGCAGCAGTTTAGGTTTTGTTATCATAAAGAGGAATTTCTCACTTAGCTGCAATTTTCTGATCATGTTAAGATTCTTTTTATTGGGATTAATGTGACAGAAATTTCTTCTTTACAATCTAGGTAATTGATTATCAATTTAAATTACCCTAGACCCCATTCCATTCGATACCAAAACATTCATATTCTTTACCAATTAAATTAAACTTGATAGGACTGAAATCCAGCTGGACAATGACTGACTTAATTTGCAACCATTGCAGCTCTGTTTTGTAGGTTATGAACAGTACTTTATCTGGTAACTTCAGTTCAAAGTGTTTGTAAATTCTATTGTTTTAATATCTGTACCTTCAGGTTAAATTAAATAAAAGATGTAACTGTGCTTTTTGCTTTATTTTCATATTTTGTCATCAAACTCACATGTCATATGTGATAAATTAGCTGGGTGCAATTTACTTGGGGTGGATGGAGGCGATTTACCCCTCCCCGTTTATGATGTTCCCACCTCTGGTCATTTGAGATGGGACACTAGATGGGTTCTAAACCTAGAGATTGGATGCTCGTCCTGTTAGATATCAGTGCTGCATTTGATACAGTTGACCATAATATTCTTTTAGAAAGACTTGAATATTTTTGTTTGAATTAAAGGTACAGCCCCAGACTGGTTTAAATCTTATCTATCTGATTGATTTCTGTTTGTTCATGTTAATGACAAATCTTCCTCATGCTCAAATGTTACCTGTGGAGTACCACAGGGATCAGTGCTACGACCAATTCTCTTTACTTTATATATGCTCCCAATCGGTAGAGTTATTAGACAGCATGGGATTAATTTTCACTGTTATGCTGATGATACCCAGCTATATCTGTCTATAAATCCAGATGAAGCTAACACATTACCGGTACATAGATTACTGGTATGTCTTGAAGATTTAAAAACCTGGATGACTCTTAACTTTCTGCTCCTAAATGCAGACAAAACAGAAGTTATAGGCTTTGGACCAGACTCTTTGAAAAAGAAGCTGATTAGTCAGTCACTTCATTGGATGGGATTAAACTGATTTCAGATAATAAAGTAAAAAATCTTGGTGTTGTTTTTGATCAGGACCTGTCATTTAAATCCCATATCAAAGAAGTTTCTAGAATTTCCTTCTTTCGTCTGAGGAATATTGCAAAAATTAGAAATATCCTGTCCAGGGGTGATGCTGAGAAACTAGTCGATGCATTTGTTACTTCAAGGCTTGTTTATTGTAATTCTTTACTATCAGGTAGTCCACATAATGTAGTTCAAAGCCTTCAGCTGACCCAAAATGCTGCAGCCAGAGTTCTGATGAAAATTAAAAAGAGAGAATAGTCCAATTTAAATTAAATGACAGGTCCTCATCACAAAGAACACCAAAATTTTTTCAAAGTTTAAAATTCAAAGACTTTGGTCCAAAGACTATAACATCTGTTTTGTCTGCATTCAGAAGGAGAAATTTAAGAGTCATTCACGTTATTATGTCTTCGAGACATGCATGTATCGAATGTTATGGGTTAGCTTCATCTGGATTTGACCTCTCGCCAACTGAATATTGCATCCTAGTGAATATTCAGAATCTAACTTAAATGAATATAAAAAAAAGCAGTACTTATACCCTTACCACAGAGTAAGGAGCTGGTTACTTATTTATGTTACATAAATGTGTTGATTTTATCAAGTTGCTAAAAAAGGTACCTTTATCATCTGAAAATTTAGCTAGAATTTTCTATTCTTTCTATTCATTGATCTTTCAGGAATTTCCTTGCAAAAAAACAAAATTCTGCAGTGCGATGGGAATCTATGGCGCATTCCGTTGTTTTAAGAATTGCAGGGAAATTAAGTGCATATGCCACCTTTTTCTCCCTCAATGCAGCTTTGACTTTGTTAAAAGATGTGCAGCAATCCATTGTTCACCTCAAGTAATCGGGAAAAAACATGATAATCCCTGCCAAAAGATCTGACCTTTCTCCCTGGAAGCACAGATTATTGTTTTCTTTGTCTCATGGGCCGTGGGCGCCCTCTCTCTCTGGGTGCTACTAGGCGCACCCACTTGATGTATGCACTGTATCTCAACTTGCACATTGAGGTGGCCTGAATGAGGTGCCCAGCATCAATGGAAGCTTTTGCTGCAGGAATTTCATCATGTCGATCCCGTCCTTGTACTCTGACAGGCCCATAATTTTGATACTACAGCGTCTTCCACTATTGTCTAAATTTTTTAAGTGGTCTCTAACTCTATCTAATTCCTCATGAAAAACGGACTCGCTCAGTCTCTGATAATCCTCTCCTTTCTTCCAGAGCAACCGCTCTCTCCTCCAAGTTATCCACACGTGATATCAGTGCTCCAAACTTGGCCTCAATCCCCCCTATTGATGATTTACAGTGGGGCAAAAAAGTATTTAGTCAGCGACCAATAGTGCAAGTTCTCCCACTTAAAAAGATGAGAGGCCAGTAATTTTCATCATAGATATACCTCAACTATGAGAGACAAAATGAGAAAAAGAAATCCAGAAAATCACATTGTCTGATTTTTAAAGAATTTATTTGCAAAATATGGTGGAAAATAAGTATTTGGTCAATAACAAAAGTTCATCTCAATACTTTGTTATATACCCTTTGTTGGCAATGACAGAGATCAAACGTTTTCTGTAAGTCTTCACAAGGTTTTCACACACTGTTGCTGGTATTTTGGCCCATTCCTCCATGCAGATCTCCTCTAGAGCAGTGATGTTCTGGGGCTGTCGCTGGGCAACACGGACTTTCAACTCCCTCCAAAGATTTTCTATGGGGACTGGCTAGGCCACTCCAGGACCTTGAAATGCTTCTTATGAAGCCACTCCTTCGTTACCCGGGCGGTGTGTTTGGGATCATTGTCATGCTGAAAGACCCAGCCACGTTTCATCTTCAATGCCCTTGCTGATGGAAGGAGGTTTTCACTCAAAATTTGACGATACATGGCTCCATTCATTCTTTCCTTCACATGGATCAGTCGTCCTGGTCCCTTAGCAGAAAAACAGCCCCAAAGCATGATGTTTCCACCCCCATACTTCCCTGTAGGTATGGTGTTCTTTGGATGCAACTCAGCATTCTCTGTCCTCCAAACACGACGAGTAGAGTTTTTACCAAAAAGTTCTATTTTGGTTTCATCTGACCATATGATATTCTCCCACTCATCGTCTGGATCATCCAAATGCTCTCTAGCAAACTTGAGATGGGCCTCGACATGTACTGGCTTAAGCAGGGGGACACGTCTGGCACTGCAGGATTTGAGTCCCTGGCGGCGTAGTGTGTTACTGATGGTAGCCTTTGTTACTTTTGTCCCAGCTCTCTGCAGGTTATTCACTAGGTCCCCCCGTGTGGTTCTGGGATTTTTACTCACCGTTCTTGTGATCATTTTGACCCCACGGGGTGAGATCTTGCGTCGAGCCCCAGATCGAGGAAGATTATCAGTGGTCTTGTATGTTTTCCATTTTCTAATAATTGATCCCACAGTTGATTTCTTCACACCAAGCTGTGTACCTATTGCAGATTCAGACTTCCCAGCCTGGTGCAGGTCTATAATTTTGTTTCGGGTGTCCTTTGACAGCTCTCTAGTTTTGGCCATGGTGGAGTTTAGAGTGTGACTGTTTGAGGTTGTGGACAGGTGTCTTTTATACTGATAACGGGTTCAAACAGGTGCCATTAATGAAGGTAACGAGTGGAGGACAGAGGAGCCTCTTACAGAAGAAGTTACAGGTCTGTGAGAGCCAGAAATCTTGCTTGTTTGTAACTGACCAAATACTTATTTTCCACCATATTTTGCAAATAAATTCTTTAAAAATCAGACAATGTGATTTTCTGGATTTTTTTTTCTCATTTTGTCTCTCATAGTTGAGGTATATCTATGATGAAAATTACCGGCCTCTCTCATCTTTTTGAGTGGGAGAACTTGCACTATTGGTGGCTGACTAAATACTTTTTTGCCCCACTGTAATATCGCTAATGTCTTTTTTTATGCATTCGAGTCACATATTGCCTGTAGCTGAGTGGCCAGAAACTCTAGAGTCTATCTCTTCAGCCTAGGATGTGGCATTTGGTGCAGCATTTGATATAGCGTTAACATTGGACTGCTCAGGCTCACGCTGGGCATTGCTAATGTACTTATCCATCTTCTTATTAGCTTTAGCCTGTCGCTCGAACACGGGATCGGGACGTTGACCAACACCACGTCCAAGCATTGGTATTTCAATTCAGTTAAACTTCGAAAATGCTGGTCATAGCAAAAATACAGTACATTCAACAAAAATATGCAGAATAAAGTATCGATTTCAATATATTGTGCTTGTGGTCAAGGAACCACTTTTCAAACAGCTGTCTTTGCCAAGAGCACAAGCAATGTCCTCCCATCTTGGTTTCTTATTATTTATATTCAACAGTTGTGTCCTCCTCTCCAACTAAATCCACTTTGACTCCAACAACAGCTGCTTAAGTGTCCTTACCATTTTGCAATGCTGTAATTAGGAGGTAAGAAACAATTTGAAAATCAGTATAAAAATATAAAAGGAATTTGTGGGCTTTCTTTAGATCCTGACCACAGGATATGGATACTTGGAGATGTTATTTTGTTGAAATTGAATCCTTACAAGAAATACTTTGTTTAGTTAGCATCGACTGCAGGGAAAAAATTTATACTTAAAAACTGGAAATCTACAGAACCTCCAAACAAGAAACATTGGATCAACGAACTGTTGTCATACTGTACTCCTGAAAAAAATTCTCCATTCGGTACGTGGAAAATTGGCCAAATTGGATTTGTTCCTTCTTGGACATTTTAACCAGATCAGAGACTGATCAACATTGATCAGTCTCTTCACTGTGTTTCAATTACTCCAATATTTTTGTTGTGCTCTTCTTTTCTCTTAATTCTGACATTTTAAAAATATGGTTAATACTATCACAGTGTACGATGTGTTGCTACATGGAGAGAGTGTTTTTCGTTTGTTTTTTTTGTCTCTTTTTGTTTTTTTTGTTTGTTTTTTTTCTTTGGGTTTCAAAAATAATAAAAATACCATTGTGCATTGGATGTAGATTTTATCTGGACATATGTTCTGAATGAATATATATATATATATATATATATATATATATATATATATATATATATATATATATATATATATATATATATATACAAAAAAAATATTATATATAACAAAAAACTAACTGTTTTCTCACCCCTCGAGGGGTGGTATGTGTCATCCTCAAGCTCGGGTCCTCTACCAGAGGCCTGGGAGTTT